CAAACCCCACACCAAAAATAGTGCCGACAGATGCCGATTAACTCCAAAATTAATTCTCATATTATTTGTTCACATTCTAGAGTGATTTCTCCTCCTTCCTAAGATATCATGCCCAACCAAGATGAGAAAAAAGAATAGAAATGGAAGTTTGATTTATTAAATGAAACCTAAAGTTATTTTCTTTAGCTTTCATACCCAAATACCCTTTCAATTGTATTTTCTTTCAATCAAATGGAAATAATTTTAATGTCATTTGGGAACATGGTACCAAAATTTTATATTAGATATCATGAACATTATAATAAGTAGATGAAAGGGACATTTAACTATTCGAACAAAATAAAAAATTTTGCATTATTCACAAGAAAAAGGTAATGTTGAGAAATATCATAAACCCTTAGAAAAAAAATTTACAAAAAAAAAATCATAAACTCAATTTATTTGTCAAATCATGATTATATAATATAAGACATTTAAGTTATTTGTTATTATAAATTCTTATCATCCTTATGTTTAGTCTAATGATAGTATAATGTGAACAACCTTTGGCTAATGTAAGTTTTTTCACCATATATTACAATCTTCGATCATTCAAATAATGTCCTTCACAATGTTACTCAAACATAAAAGAAAATACTTTTCTCATACCCAGATCTTTCTATAAAGTTTTTGATATCAACTGGCTTATCTTAAAACACTTCATTTGACAGTGACATCCGATCACTTGCTAATTGATTTACGCTACATCAATTCACCCATAATTAAGATATAACCAAAATCACTCTCCTATTTCTCTTACTATCGATCTTATTTCATGCAGGAAAAATATTACATCAGGACTCCTAACGTAGAGCTACGTTCGGAGTCCACTCATACGCAGACACGTGACTTCAAAAAAATGCGCGTGCTTTTCTGTGATCCGGCTCGGTAACACAAGAGAATATTCCTCCTGTATTATTTCACATTATTCAGGCGTTATTGCGGTGGTATTGATGTGTTATTGTGTTATTATAACAACGAGAATATTCCCAGAACATAATAATACATGAATATCGTCACAATAACACATGAATAATTTGGAATAACACAGGAGGAATATCCCTCTGCGCTAACACAATTTTTTTTTATTTTTTTTGTACGTTAGGAGTCTTACGCATTTACATATCTTACACCTAAACATTGCCTTTTTTACATTTATGACCCCTTCCCTCATATTTTTATTACAAGCTTTTGACATCAACAAAAAGACAAAATTCAGCCCAAATAAGACTCCTAACACCACATCTGTTAATCATTTAATTAAAAATTCTAATTACAATAATAAAAAACTTCCAATTAATTACCATCCACCCCCAATCACAGTCAAAATGAATATTTAAACGCAAGCCCAATGTCCCCAGAGAACCAAAAAGCAGAGCCCGTAGAAAGCCATGGAGGCCGTCGTCCCCAACGGCGGGAGTGAAGAAAGGCTCTGCATCGACGAAGCGCTGGCGAAATATGCCGGCGAGTTCGGGCCCTGGCAAGCCAGACAGTTCTTCCTCGTGAGCCTCGCGTGGCTGCTGGACGCTTTCCATACCATGGTGACCATCTTCGCCGACAGGGTGCCGGCGTGGCGCTGCGTGCGGCAGGGAGGCTGCGGCGGCCGCGGGATTTGCGAGCTGGAGCGAGGAGCGTGGGAGTGGGAGGGCGGCCGGGGGGTTTCTACGGTGGCGCAATGGGGGCTTGTCTGCGGCCAGAAGTACAAAATCGGACTTGTTCAGTCCGCTTTCTTTGCTGGATGCATGCTCGGTGAGCTTTTCTCATGCTTGTACAAATGTTACATTATTAAGCACAGGGAACGCAAATGATGCATGAAAGTTTAAATTTTTTTAGCTAAAAAATGTCCATTATTTCTATGCTTCTGTATGAATGACATTTGCGCCACGTCCTCAGGTCAGTTGGTCTGATCGGGTATCTGCTTGTCAGTTGTAAGTCCCCTTTGGTCTGGAAAAATATTACATCACGACTCCGAACGTAGAGCTACGCTCAGATTGCAATAGTTAGAAATATTACATCTGCTTTATTTGTAAAAAATAAAGTGTTATTCGAGTATTATATAGTGTTATTCAATTATTTTGCGGTGTTATTAAAATATTATCCCGTGTTACTTCTGTTATTCAATTATTTTGCGGTGTTATTGAAATATTATCCCGTGTTACTTGATTTGAGACTATGTTGATCGTCAAATTCTCCGTACTATTTCAATTTACACTATGTTATTGGAATAACACCGCTCCAAATCAAGTAACGAAGGGGAAAATTACAATAACACTTCGGCCCCAAATCAAGTGACGCGGGGGAATATTCTAATAATATCACAAAATAATCGAATAACATCATTTAATACTCGAATAACACTTCAGTTTTTACAAATAACGTGAATGAAATATTCATATAACACATTGGGATATTCCTAATTATTGCAATCCGAACGTAGCTCTACGTTCAGAGTCCTGATGTAATATTTAACCCTCTGGTTTGGGGTTTGATCCCCCCAAGTGTAGGGTGTAGTACTCGAATTATTTGGCTCATGAGGGATGATCAGAGCTCCCATAATAGCTTCCGGTCATTCCTAAATATTAATAAGAAAAATAATTAAATAATTGTTTAAATTCTTAGAGTTATGGAATACACTATTCATACAACTTACTAAAGTAGTAACATGTGGAGTTATCTCACTGTAACTTTTGATCTACACCAATTAAAGCTGCTCTTGCTAGAAAAAAAATATTATGTCCGGAGCACAGACGTAAACTGCGTCCACAACGACTGCGATCGGAGTGGAGGAAGAAAGGAAAAATAACCTCAAGTAGATCACAATCGTTTCCAGACACAGTCTTGTTGGGTTAAGAAGTATTTTTGAACCATGACTTACTATGATTTGATGAAACCTTTTTTTATAATTTTTTTTAAATTCATTCCATCTATAAATATATAGCTTCCACGTGTCTCATTTATTAACTCACGATTACTAGTCATAAATCATCCAGACCGTTAATTTTTTTCTATTAAAAAATATGCCATATAAATTAAATATTTTGACTATTTTTAAAATGTATGATTGACTCAGTTGATATATTATATAGTTATGTTTCTCGTATGTTAATACATTATACGTAAAAGTATAATAAGTTAATTATCTTAAGTAGATAGTTATTTTATTTTAATACCTTATTATTATAAATTTTTATTTTAAAAACAAAATAAAATATTAATATAAAATATAATAAGATAATTTTAGGTAGGATGCAGCCACGTTCGAGGTAATTAATGCCACTGTTAAATATAAATAAAGATTATAAATATGTAAAATTAATTATAATTAGGTTTAAAAATTATATATTATTTTATTAAACCTTAATAAAAAATATTTTATTAAATAAGGTAATTAATTTGGGTCTTAAATGCACAAGTGGCAATGTCAGATTCATTGGGAAGCCTACCTATAAAACACAATATGCATTCAATTGCCTGTAAGGAACTATAAAGTTTGGAGGCAGAGATAGGTGTCAATTAATGCGTTGAAGTAATAATATTTTATGCTCCAGTTTTGTCTTTTTAATGAAATAGCGTTATATTTTAGGAATGATTTTGGGGTATAAACGAGCTGAACATGAGCGAGCTCAGCTCGTGTTTAGCTTGTTTATATTTTGAGCATAAAAAATGTGTTTGTGCTCTGCTCGTTTATTTAGAAAGCCGAAAACGAGATGTTTACGAGCGAAGAGTCGTTTTGACAACCCTAATCACGTAGGCATAAGATGTTAAGGATTAGGGCAAGATTTATATCACGATTTGAATCTAATTTAATAATTTTTATTCTACTTTTTTAATTAACAATTTGTTCATAAGATGTTAAGTTGTAGCATTGTAGTCATAATCAATTAAATTTTTTAAAAATACTACTCATCAAAGATATATATATATATATATATAATGCATTAATGTAGTTAACGAGCCAAACAAGAATATTTGTGTGTGTGTGTGTGTGTGTGTGTGTGTGTGTGTCTATATGTACATATGTGTGTGTGTATGTCATCAATCATGATCTGTTGGCCTAGCAGCTTCTTTGAAGGTCGTAAGTTTCCTCATGTCACATGTTTGAATTCTCCTCTAGCCAGTTTGTCGGCAGTAAGGGTGGTCCTCGAATAGCTAGAGCCACATGAAAATGGTTAATGGCTCGTATGATACCCTTCGGCCATTATTTAATATATATATATATATATATATGAGTGTGTGTGTGTATTTATTATCTATATATCTGTATATATAGAGATATACGTGTATATACACGTATATAAATATACACATACATACATACATATTAACATATACATATATGTACATGTCACATCCTTCTCTCTCTTGTCTGTGCACAAAGAGATCAGTATCTTTTTTTCATATGCATGTAAATTATGAAAAACAAAGATTGATAAACTTGCAATGTCTTCTTGACCCAAAACAACATCTTTTTTCACAGGCTGCGGAATATTCGGACACTTATCCGACTCCTTCCTGGGCCGAAAGGGCGCCCTAATGGCAGGCTGCATCATCAACACCATACTCGGCTGCCTCACCTCCCTCTCCCCCTCCTACTCCATCTACCTCCTCCTCCGCACTCTCACCGGCCTCTGCACCGGCCCCATGGGCACCACCGCCTTCCTCCTCGCCACCGAACCCATCGGCCCCTCCCGCCGGGCTGCCGCCGGTATCTCCGTCTTCTACTTCTTCTCCGCCGGCATCATCCTCATCGCCGTCCTCGCCGCCTCCCTCCCCTCCTCCTGGCGCCTCCTCTACTTCTCCTCCTCCCTCCCCACCCTCGCCTTCGTCCTCCTCATCCTCCCCTTCCTCTCCGAATCCCCTCGATGGTATCTCATCCGCCGGAACCCCGCAGCCTCCCTCCGCATCCTCCGCTCCATCGCCAAATCCAACTCCCGTTCCGATATCCCCGATAATGTCTCCCTCACCCTCGACTGCAGCACCGATCCCAACTCCGATGATGCCCAAACCTCTGCTTCGATCATCGACGTTTTGCGCTCCCGCGTCACTCGGCCTCGACTGATCCTCTCTGTCGTCACAAGTTTCTTCTGCTCCGTCGTATACTACGGCCTGACATTGAACGCGGCAAATCTCGGGACTAATATTTACGCCAGCGTGATAATCAATTCGGTGTCGGAGCTCCCGGCGTTCACCATCGCCGCATTCTTGATTGGGAGATTTGGGAGGAGGAGGCTGACGGTTGGGACGATGTGGCTGAGCGGGGGGTTCTGTGTGGCCGGAGCAGCGGTGCGTGGGGGAGTCGTGAGGATGGGTTGTGGGGTGATGGGAATATTTGGGATAGCGGCGACATATAATTTGTTGTTGGTGTATACGGCGGAGCTGTTTCCGACGACGGTGAGGAATACGGCGCTGGGATGCGTGCAGCAGGCGGAGCAGATTGGGGCGGTGCTGGCGCCGATGGTGGTGGTGATGGGAGGAAAGGTGACGTTTTTGGTGTTTGGGGTTTGTGGGCTGGTGGGGGGAATGTTGGGGTTGTATTTGCCGGAGACGTTGGATCAGCCGTTGTATGATACGCTCGCGGGGATGGAGGATGGGGAGAAGGCTAGGGCGATATAGCGAGTGAAATGCATGTGGAGCGATTGCATGCTCGGACGATGGTCTAAATGTTTGGATCATGATCTAGATGGGTTATTGTGATGCATGATGGTCGTCTGGACGTGTGGCCAGGTCTATGTGATGTTTTCTTGTAGTAGGAGCTGTTTGGCTGAAGCTTGAGTTTAAGTTAAATATCAGCCGTTGTATGATACGCTCGCGGGGATGGAGGATGGGGAGAAGGCTAGGGCAATATAGCGAGTGGAATGCATGTGGAGCGATTGCATGCTCGAACGATGGTCTAGATGTTTGGATCATGATCTAGTTTGGTCATTGTGATGCATAATGGTTGTCTGGACGTGTGGCCAGGTCTATGGATTTAATAAATCTAGTAAGTTCTGATAAAATTTATCAATATTAAAAATAATCATGTTTGAATCGAATATAATTAAGGGCCCGTTTGGGGTAGCTTATTTGGTGCAGTGGGGTTTTGAAAATATACCTCGTCTGTTTTGGTAAATTGCGTTTTAGCGGCTTATGCGTTTTGAAAACGCTGAAAACTGTGTTTTCACACCGTACCTATCTAGGTGAGGTGACGTCTTTCTGGCAGCGGTCTAACTTTTTCAAAAAAATAAAAATTGTAATAGTCATTACACCTAACTTATCAGCAGATTATTTTTAATAAACTTATCAACATATTATTCAATAAGTTGCAGCTGCCCCAAATATACCCTAAATCTTGTTAAAATTTCTAATGTGTTCGATGAATTCTCAAAACGATCATATGAGGTATATCTTTAAATCGCTTAAATTCATCTCTCTATTGAATATATTAAACTTAGTCTAAAATTCTGCTACCAAACACTCTGTACAGGAAACTTTTGTTTAGAATAATTTGATTTTATTTTTAAAGATAATTTTTTCTTTATTAAAAAAAGATATTTTAAGTAAAATAATATGCTCATAGAGACAAAATATTTAGCTTATGTAATAGACTATTTCTATGATATGGAGCTTTATCATCAGTAGGATTAATGTTTGGTTAAATTTTGAAGTTGTTTGCTTTATGAGAATTAGTTAATGTATTGTTTCCTTTGTTTATGTGGTTTTGTTAAAAAATTGGAACGATTATTGTATCAGGACACCGGATGTAAATTTACGTCCTGAGTCCAGTGGACAATTGCCATGTGACAAATGAACCTCACTGTAATACATTGGTTGGAGTTTTTAGAGGAGCGGGGCCCACTTGTCACGTGGCGTATTCTCACTGGACTTCGAAAGCAAATTTTACGTCTGGTGCTCTGATGTAATATTTTTTTCTGAAAATTGACCCTTTAATAAACCTTTTTTAGAAAAAAAAAAAGGAGACCCTTTAATAAACCTTTTTTAGAAAAAAAAAAAAGCAAGATAAGTTTGCTTCTTTCATGCATTTTTCTGATATCAAATTTGAAGGTGGTGGGTTGTAAGCTAATTGGAGGAAATATAGCTACCATAACACCAACATGAATCTAAACTAGATTGATTAGATATAATTTAAAAAACACTTTAGAAAATGATTTCTTAGTGAGGTAAATGCCTACAACCTTTTATTAAATGTTTAGCCTAAGATTCATATTATAATCCATGGTAGATAATTATTATGAGGAAGTTTATGTGGGTCTCAAGAGGCAGGAGAAACAGATTAGGTCCCAAACATGTCTAGTTTAGTCGAAAGCTATTGGTGGAGTGTTAAGGTGCATGTTGAGCTTCGGTTAGGTCGTGGTCAATCTTAGAAGATGTATGGTAAGTATAGGAAGGATTGAAGAAGTTATAAAGTAGGTGTTTAGAGAAATATAATAATAAATTATAGAAAATACTAAGATAACAACCTTATTTCATTAAAGAAAATGCAAATTATTGGAGCTATCAAGTAACAAAATAAAATAAAAAAAACAATATTTTTTACAAAATAATTGAAAAATTAAAATTTTATTATATTTTAAATGTTGTTTATAAGCCAAAAATGAGCCAAGTTTAAGGTATGTACGAGTAAATATTCGAGTAGTTAATGAAGGATGATGTTACGAATATTTTTTTTTCATTTTCAATGATCTTTCTGTAAGATAGTTGATCATATATGTACTGTAAGATAGTTGATCATACATGATTTTAAGGATATTATAAAATGTAAGAAAATAAAACTAAAATATATTTGAATAGTTTAATTATTAGACCTTGTTATGTGCTTTGAAATGTGTTCTTATTCAAAGACTTGTGTTAGCTTAGGCTTTTAGTTGCTTTGACATTTTACTTGAATTCTTATATTTGGACCTTTAGATTGATTCTATAACATGGAAGACCCTATCCATTCAACCCTGGAATTATAATCCAACATTCTAAATGATCCACATAGTTCTCGTTTATGATTTTACTTTAAAAAAAGTTTTATTTTGTATTGATTCTCCATTAATTTAAGGTTGTCTGCTTTGTAAATCCTACACGTTGTTAAATCTAGTTTTTGCTTCTTTTTGCCTTAAAGTCGGAGATTTATTAAAAAGAGCAAGTAGGATTTACGGGATTTAGAGAAGTTAAAACTCGTTGGATAAATCCATTAAAACCAACTAATAAGTTGATTTAGTAAATACAGAGTTACTAAACGAACAACAAAAATCGCACAAAAATCAAATTTGGATCAAATTTCTATGTTAGGTATGAAAAAATTGTTAAATCCATTTAGATTTCTCTTTGTAATATTGTGTGCAACTGTTGCTACGCCAAACCTTTCACGAGCGTATTTATTGTGCATTTTCTTTCTAGCTGTAAAGCCAATCATATACCTAAGTTTTCATTTTCGCAGCTCCTTACACGATTGATTGCGCACCTAGAAGTATTTTCTACAGACAATAAAATGTTTAAGAACCAAACTCGTGCAAGGTTTGATTTAACAATGGTGACAAACAATATTACATCTGAAAATTCAAGACAGATTATCGATCTTCGACATCCCTAACAGTCTCAGTCGATTGTTAATGTTCTGATTTCGAGCTTAATTGTGATCGGCTTGAAAGAAATTTGATCTAAATTGTTTGACTCAAACTTGGGTCGTTTATTTTGATCTGTTCTTTAATTGAGGCAAAATTAAAATCATTTAAATTTTGAGCTATAGTCATTGTTCGAGCTATCTAAAATGTTCACTCCTTTTATAATGTGTTGATTATTGTCAGATTTGATTACTTTATGTTTCAACTCTGTATTGGGTATACAAGTCAGATCGTTTACCATTTTAGTAATGTTAGTTCCATCGAAGATCATTAATCTGTTGAACATTGACTCGCAATCCGTCAAGATGACTCCCTCTAATATTTTATGTCACTCTTGCTACAATAGCCCTCACATAGATATATTTGTGTCATATTTCCCAAAATGAAAAATGCAAAAAAAAAAAAAAAACCTAAGCATCATCATCTCCGCAACTGTTAACTAGATTACATTTACACCTTTAAATATATTCTGGGAAGGAAATATTCTGTATGATGTAAGAGCGTTGTTTACTTTATCCTCTAATGAGAAATCTAACTTCAATTCCTAGATTAGAAATTCACTTCAAACATCATGTTTTGTGATATCATGAATATAATACTTGAAGCGATTTTTCATTCCTAGAAAGTTAGATTTTTTAGTTATAGTTTTGCTTAGGGGCATTTACATACACATCACACAACTCTAATGTACTTGCATATCTAACTCCCAAACTTTCAAATTTAAATGCATAACACACAAATCTTTAATACTAAATCTACAATATCACTATGACTAACTTTTAAAAAATGAAATGCACATTTCCATTCATAGGCTTATGGCACAAAGGTGTGATATGCTAAAAAAACATTCATCATTGTCTCACTAATAGTTGTTGGTCATAATAGAAAGAATATTATACCACGTCATAAAAAAACAAATTTCAAATAAAGTTTGAATATGGCAAAAAATATTTATTTGAATGTTATTTAATTTGGCAAAAAACAAATTTGGCAAAAAATATTTATTTGAATGTTATTTAATTTGGTTTTTGACTTTATTAGTTTGGAAGAGTGGTTCGAATAAGATTTGTTAAAATCTTGGCTTGATAATGCATGTGGAACTAAAAGGAAAATCGAAGGTAAGAAAATGAGTCTTATTCGAACCATGTTTCTAATACATCTAAAGTTCGTTCAGATAACATTCGAAGTATGTTCTAATGTGGTTTCAAAACAATCTCCAAATTTTAAAGGAAAAATTATTGCATCAGGACTCCAATCATGACCTGTCAGGTGTACAGACAAACCCACCTTAGTAAAAAGAAAATTAATTTAATACATGGTTGGACCTGTCTGTACACGTAACATGCCCTGATTGGAGCCATGATGCAAAACTTCATCAGAACTACTGATGCAATATTTTTTCCATTTTAATGTTGGAGTTCTTACATACTGATTACTCACATTACTGAATATGATATTTTTAACCGCCCAAAATTCAGATATAATATTTTAGCCACCCGAACCTTTAACTTAAACTCTTAACCTTTTAATATAAATAATAATTTTTAAATCTTGCTCAAACATTTATTGTCTTATGACTACATTATTAAAGTTTTTAAAAGTACTCTTTGTTCGTGAACAACTCGTGTTCGGCTCGTTAAGCAAACG